ATGTATCCAAAGAATTCTTATCGTGCTGTTAAAGACAATGCATGGGGTGGAGAGAGCCGTTTTCTACATCATGGTTGGTCGATGTGGAAAGGGTCTACAAATCTTGATCACCATTGGGTTGTTGTTGAGGTGAATCTTGCAGCTGGAAGAATAATGGTGTACGACTTATAGACGTCTAAAACCCACACACATAAAGCGACTGCCAAATTGGCTTCCATCATTAACGTGTTTCCCAATGTCATCCGAACCCTGTCCAAGGAGGTGAAGAATGGACTTTGGCCCATCATTATGAGTCCAAAGTCCCCACAGCAAGGCAACGGGTGAGTTAAAATTTTGTTAAATTGTTAGTGAGTTTCAATTGAATTGTCTGTGAATTGGTTTTGAAACTTGTTGAATTATTGTATGCCACATGAGAGATTGCAGTATTTTCACTTTAAATGTGATTGAGTTCTTGTCCTATGGCCTTCCTTTGGATAGAATTACGCCCGCCAATGTCCCCGAATACCAACTGAGGATAACAATCGACATGTTGCATGACCTTCACAATGTTTTTACATACACTATGCCGCAGTTTCTTTCTGCACATGCTACTTCCTCGGATATATATACATTATGCACAAGTAATGTTTTTACATTTTTAGCAACGTATTGGATTGTTCAAGAGCCAATGAGGTTGTTCCTATATGTTTTCGAAGCATTTATTGAAGCAAAGGTATCATTATCTCCGATTGTAATGTTCTTTGATGAACCGGAGTTGGATAGTAGACATAAGAGAAAGGTTGAACATTCCATTTTATTTGGATGTTCTGAGATTTCATGGGATAATAGTGCTATAAAGGCTACATTAAGGAACATAATTTTGATGGTGAAACATTTTTTTTGGGGGGGGGGTAGCAAGTTTCTCAGTCTGCATGGATTCAGAACTTGAAAATATTTTGTTTCATGAATATCTCTTTCTCTATTTGATTATAGCCGTTTCATAATAGTTATAGGATGACTTATGGCTGTTGACAAGTTTTTAGTTTCTAGATACTTGGATGCTGGTTATTCTTTTCCTTGTGTAGAAGTTCTCTGTTTTGTTGTTTTTCTTTTTCTAATATCTCTAGCATTTCTCCTTCAAATTTCAATGACTAGGGATTTTATTAGCTATAGGTAATATTATTGCAAGCTATAATAGCATCCATGTTCTAACCTTCACTTGTACACTAATATTGCTTCTGTATTATTCAACAACTTTTACAAGATACATGCCCTGCATTTGCACAAGTGTTCAATATTTATACCAAACTGCAAGCTAAGGCAGTTACCTGCAAGCTAAGGCAATTACAAAGATATTTCCCACATCTTATCTCTAACCAATAGATTATTATTAAAACTAACAAACAACAACTACTAACAGATAGGGTGCTTAGCACTAACACTTAATCAATTACTCAAATACTAGCAACATCCTATCATTACCCCACCCTAAATAATGAACCTTGTCCTCAAGGTTGGAATGCAGGAAACTTGTTTACAAACTCTGCATAGTTTTCCCATGTCGCATCCTCCTTAGGCTAATGCTTCAATTGCACCAAAACCTCGGTTGTAGATGAACTGCCATGACCTATTAACCTCTTCCTTAATATTGCCAATGGATAGTCCTCCAAGAGTTCATCCTCTATAGCTACAGGTAATGGAATTGCATGAATGATATCAGAGCCCAATTGTTTCTTCAAGCAAGAAACATGAAAAACTGGGTGACGTTTTGATGTGGCAGGTAATTCAATTTTACTTTACCAATCTTCTACAACACTTTAAATGGACCATAAAACCGTGGCTGAAGCTTATGAAAATGATGTTTAGCAAAGGATTGGTGTTGATAAGGTACCAATCGCAAAAAAACCATATCTTTAACCTTAAAAGATCTCTCTACTCGATGTTTATTCGCTTGCTGTTTCATCCTTACTTGAGCCGAGACAAGATTAGTCTTGAGTTAGGACAAATTCTTCCCCTTTTCTCTGAACACCTATTAACCAAATCAATCTTAGTTGCTCCAAATTCATAAGTAGGCACAGCGGGATGTGGCTGCCCATACACGACTTCATACGGTGTAAGTTTGGATGAAGTATGAAAAGTAGTATTGTAATGCCATTTCGCCCACAGAAGCCATTGAACCCACTTCTTTGGTTGATGACTGCAAAAACATCTCAAGTATGTTTCCAAACCTCTATTAGTAATCTGTTTGACCATTGGTTTGAGGATGGTAACCTGAACTGAGACACAATTTAAAGCCTTGCAATGCAAAAAAATGCCTTACAAAAAGAGCTCAAAAAAACAGGATCGCCATCACTTACTATTGTGGAGGGCATACCATGGAGTTTGAATATATTGTCAACAAATATCTGTGCTATTGAATGGGCAGTGTATGGATGGAATATTGGTAGGAACTGAGAATACTTGGAAAGGTGATCAACTACCACAAAAATAATGGTTTTACCTTTGCAAGGGGGAAAACTAACAATAAAATCTGTTGCTATATTTGTCCATACAGTAGATGGGGTGGGAAGTGGATTAAGTAGGTCAGGGGAAGCCAAAGTTTCGGTCTTGTTTGGTTAACAAACTGAGCAAGCTGCCACCCACTGCATAACATCAGATTTCATACCCTGCCAATAGAAAGATATGGAAGTTCGCTCATATGTTTTAAGAAAACCAAAATAACCTGCCACTAGAGTACATTGATGCTCATAGAAAATCTTGTCCCGCCAACAATTAGATGGACTTAAAACAATCCTCCCTTTATACTTATGAAAGCCATTATCAAAATGGTACCGAGCTGTGGACGTGGAAGCACCATCAGAAGGTAACTCCCTAATTTTTGCTTTTAATTTAAGGATCTTGTTCATTATGCCTCCTTATATCATCCAACCAACCCATGTAAGGATAAGAGATGGTCGACAATTCCACAGCCGAATGCATCCGAAAGAGAGCATCATCAGCAACATTATAACAACCTTATTTATATTGTATCTCATAATCAAAACTGAGAAGTTTAGAAATCCACTTCTGTTGAAAAAGGGTGTGAGCTCTATGTTGTAAAAAGAACTTCAGACTATGGTGATCAGTTTTAATTATAAAATGCCTCCCTTGAATATATGACTGCCACTTCTTGATTGCATGTACTATAGCCAACATTTCCCATTCATATGTGGACATTGCTTGAGCTCATGGGCCTAAAGCTTTGCTTGTAAAAGCAATTGGCTTTCCTCCTTGGTGTGAAACAACACTAATTCCATTATTGGAAGCATCAATTTCAATAATAAAGGCTTTGGAAAAATTTCGTAAAGCAAGAACTTTAGGAGATACCATGATATCTTTGAGAGCTTAGAAGGCCCTACTAGCTTTATCAGTCCACTTGAATGCATCCTTTTTTGTTAGCACAGTAAGTGGTCCACAAGTCTTTTTGTAATTTGGAATGAATTTTCGATAATATCCAGTGAGGCCAAGAAAACCCCTGAGAGCCTTAACCGAATGAGGAAGAAGCCAATCTTGGATAGATTTAAGCTTATTTGGATCTGCAGCCACCTTTTGCCGAGACACCACATGGCCCAAATATTCGATTTGTGATTTGCCAAAGTCACACTTTGTTTTCTTGACAAACAATTGATGGTCTTAGAAAACTTTGAAAACCAGAAACAAATGGTGAATGTGGGATTCCCAAGAGCCACTGTACACTACAATATCATCAAAGAAAACCAAATCTTCTCAAGTAAGGTCGGAAAATCTAATTCTTCAAACTTTGGAAAGTAGTCGGGGCATTAGTAAGCCTAAATGGCATTACTAAAAATTCATAGTGACCATCATGGATGCGAAATGCTGTCTTCTCAATGTCACTAGGATAGACCCTAATCTAATGATAACCTGCCCGCAAATCCAACTTCGAAAAAAATTGAGCACCAAACAACTCATCCAACAATTCATCAATTAAGGGTATTGGATACTTATCCTTGATTGTTATCAAATTTAGAGCTCTATAATCCATGCACATCCGCTAACTATTATCCTTCTTCTTAACTAGCATAACTGGTGAAGAAAATGGGCTATTACTAGCTCGAATAAAACCCGAATCCAATAATTCTTGAACACACTTTTAGATTTCAGATTTTTGTAAAGGACCATACCTATAAGGCCTGGCACTTGGAGGCTTGCTGCCTTCCAAAAGAGGGATTCGATGGTCATGGGATTTGAAATGAGGTAGTGCGGTTGGTGTCTGAAAAACCGAAGCAAATTAAGACAATAAGTTATCTAACTCCAATTTATGACGAACCGTGAGATCCCCAACCGTAGTAATCTGAGTCTCGGGTTCAATGAAGAAAATAAGTACACCAAAGGGACCCTGAGAAAGCAATTTCTCCACTTGACAGGTTGAAATGGACATTGGTGAACGAGGTGGAGAACTAGAAAGACAATAGTGTTTTTTGCCCAAAGTAAACTCCATTTTGAGTTTGTCAAAGTCCCAAAGAATAGGACTTAGAGTTCTTAACCACTGAGCTCCCAAAACCACATCACAAACCACCCAATTGTAGAACATAGAAATAAAAAATATACTTATATTGTTGAATCTGCAACTTAATCTGAGAACAACAACCCTTACTGGAAATAGTGCCCCCATTTGCGATCATCACCTCAAAAGAATTGTTAGAGCCACCCTTCCACCCTAATTGTTTGGCAATAGACAAATTAATGAAGTTATGTGAGCTAGGGTTGGGCAAATAGGCCTAGGACCCGCGGGGTGGGCCGGGTTCATTCAGTTCGGGACGGGTACAAATTTTGTAAACTCAAAATGGAGCAGGGCGGGGCGAGTCCATGTAATTGGTGGGGAGGGCCGGTTTCAGATTTCTGAAGAAAAAAAGGCCCCAGGCCCGAACCGTTGGTACTATCCATTATATGGAGATTAAATCTCCACCATTGATTTAAAACAAATCTTACTCTCGGTTCCTCTCCCCACTATCGATATTTCCTAAGTCAGTGGACTCTCAAATCCCCAACTCAAGCATCAATCGTCGTGACTCTGGCAAAGATGATCAAGAAGGATGAGGACAACACCGCCTTCCTTGACGGCCTCACGGAGAAGAAGATCGATGTCTTCGCCGACTGGGAGAAAAATTTCGAAGCTTACCCAGTTATCGAGGTCTTCCATTGGTGGCTCCAACCACATCGCCATGCGCGCTTCTATGGCCTCCACCTCAGCTCGGCTCGTATAGCAGTCGTCGGCAATGTCGTAAGTCTCTCTCTCTCTCTCTCTCTCTCCCTCTCTCTATCCCTCCATCTGTGAATTCCGAAACCGTCGTAGGTTGATTGAATTAAATTTCGTATTTATATTCTCTAAATTTTCAATTTGTTTGTTTTGGGTTTGCGAAGCATAATCAGTGGAATTTAGGGTTTCTGATTTAGGAATTTTACAGGTTTCTGATTTAGTTTTGATTCTATGTAATCTGTAATGGCAAGTGTGTGGAGGTCTTAGATCCGTGAGGAAGACGACGTATTTGGTTCTATTTGTGCGTCAGGGTCTACGAGAAATGCTTGAAGACAATGTCTCTGGTTCGATTCGTGAGGAAGACAACGTCTCTGGTTCTCAAAGGGATTCAGATTTATTTTATTTTTTTATGAATTCGAAATTGTATTTGAAGATTTTGTATAGGAGGTGCTTGATGGAAGTGGCGGGGATCTCCAGGGTTGTGAATGTTAGGGTTAGGATTTTTCCCTCCAAAAGGGTCACGAATAAGTTCTAGGTGTTGGATTTGGCAATGGTGGATACTGGGAAGAATCTGGATACTCAAAATTAGGGGAAAAAAAAAGAGTTTGTACCCGTAGGAACCAGCCTATTTTATACGGGCCGGGTTAGGCTGATTCTTAGTTTTAAAATAATAAAATCTGCCCTGTCCCGGCCTGTTGTATTTTCAAGCGGGTTCGGTCCGGTCCCTTCAATTTTGGGCCCGGCCCGACTGGTGCCCACCCTTAATGTGAGCACCAAATCCAACAACCCAATAACTGGGCAGTTCTTGATTAACTTAGAAACCTTTATAATCTGAATATGTTGATGAGCCAATGTACCAAAAACTGTACAAGCTGTGATTTCGACCTATTGGTCATCACGATCCTCACCATCGATATCTTCAATCCTATTAGCAGAGACATCTAGTAACAATAGTTGTTGAGTAACACAAACATGCCCTCAAACCTATTTCTCTGGACAATAATAACACAACCCTTTTTTTTCCTACGATCTTGAAGTTCTTCAAAGGACATTTTTCTCACATTACTAGCCCTAGATGTGTTAGAAGAAGAATTATTACCAGAGAACAAAGGCACAGATTTTGAGGTTGTAACATTACTAAAAGAAGAAGCAGGATTTCGGGAGAAATTTCAAACCTTGGTATCTGATAGTTTGATGTCCAATTGGAAAGCCAGGGCAATTGCTTCATGTACATCAGATGGGCGAAGCAATTTGACGTCATGACGTAACTCTAGTTTCAGTCCTCCGATGAAACAACTTTGTAGCATAATTGAACCGATCTCTGTAGTCCGATTCGCCAATCAACAAAACTCATAGACATATTCTATGAGAGAACCCAACTACTTCAATTGAACTAGGGCTTCAGTAAAGTCTTTGAATTCAGAAGGCCCAAATTCTTTACAGAAGGCATGAACAAAATCTTTCCATGTTGGGTGATTCTTGATGCAGTTCCTCCATTGAAACCATTGTAAAGCTTCATTGTCCATATGAAAAGAAGCCATTTGTACCTTTTGGGCCTCGTCAACCGAGAAATAATCGAAATAATGCTCTGCCTAACAAACCCATGCCAAGGGATCATCGAGGAAACTCTAGCTTGATCAATGGCAGCCTTGGTTGAAACGACGAATCTTGACGGAAAAAACGTTGACCCATATGATCAATTGGATCCAACAAGGTTTCTTTAGAACTACCCATTGGATTTGAAGAACTTCCATGGTCCACAGGAGCACGATGAGGATGATCAGCACCAAAAAAATGGTTGCGAATCGAGACTCCATTGATGCGATTACAGTGGACAAATTCTGCAATGTCGACCCGATCGTCACGACGGAAGATTGGATTTCCTGAACCTAACCTTCAAGAGCTACTACTCGTGTATCCATGGTTTTGGCATGCGTCGTTGCTCGCGTCATACAAGAAGGGAAACGTGGAGGATTGTTACTGGCTAATACCAATAATAGCACCCCTATTCTAACCTTCACTTGTACACTAATATTGCTTCTGTATTATTCAACAACTTCTTTTACAAGATACATGCCCTGCATTTGCACAAGTGTTCAGTATTTATACCAAACTACAAGCTAAGGCAGTTACAAGATATTTCCCACATCTTATCTCTAACCAACAGATTATTATTGAAACTAGCAAACAACAACTACTAACAGATAGGGTGCTTAGCACTAACACTCAATCAATTACTCAAATACTAGCAGCATCCTATCAAGCTCCTGCCATATTGGATTTATGCTTGATTTTATTCTTTATATAATATGTAATGCTTTATTGTATATTTTGTACTAGCTATGGAAGAAAGCTCACGCCACTGCAAAACATCAACACTCGAGATGATAGTATCCGAATCCAGCGGATCGAACTGTCCTCCATGTTCAAACTTTTCAGGTAAACTTTGGACTTTCTTGTTGTTATTGCATGGTAAGTAGCTCGTACTCCCAAGAACATCATGAAATATTCATCAGTGATGTTGGAATGCTCTTGATTTTTTTTTTTTTTTTTGGATTGTGGTAGATACATGGTGCATGAGTTTTTTTATTTTCAACATTTCATCCATGAAGTTTTTTCATCCCAGTCTGGTACAAGGTACTAAAAACGCTGGGCGACGAAGCAATTTACAATATCCCAAAAACCCTACTTTTATGTGCAACCATATTCTATTCTATATCATATGTGCATTTTATATGTAACCGTCATACATGCAGATAAATAGATCTTTTGAGCTTTCAATTTGGACACCAAGTTATGTATCAACATTAGAATTTTTGTGGATTTTAGATGTTTATAAATATTAAATGCATTAAACTCTGCATTTTAGTTAGATTTTGAAACGAACAGGTATATAATACATAGGAGATACCCCATTGCACTTGCAGTCACATTTCCATGTAAAATAATTTTGCATTGCAATGACAGTTTGGTAATATTTTGTGGCCTGGACACTTGGCTACACACAAATATGAAGATTAACTAACTAAAAGCCGGATGGGTAGTTTTTGTTAAGAGGTCTAACACTAATATGAGGAGGTGAAACATTGTGAGAAAACCCTGGCTTGAGCATTTTCTTATGTTGTCCAAGGGTGACAATTCTTAACAATACTTGAAACCACATGAAATTAACATATTAGGGTTGACTATTACTTGACACGAAACCTATGTGGGACGCGACTTGCCAGCATGAATTATTTTGACATGATATCCGTCTAACTAGTAATGTAGAAAGAAATGATTCATTTTTTTCATCTCTAATACGTAGTGTAGGAATCCTTGTAGAATAATAGGTCATTTCTTATGGATTTGTTAGTAGCATCGGGCAAACCAATTTACTTTTATTTACTAAGGTATTGCTAGGTTTGGTTTACAATTATATTAACCTAATTTGAAGTTCTAGTTCTCAATAGTTGATCTCCATTTGCTGATATCAATTTTTTGTTAAAACTTCTGTCAATGTTTGTATTCGCAGACTTGAGAACAACTTTTTACCCCGTATACGAAAAATTCTCATAAGCTCCTTAAAGGAGTATGTATAGAAAGCTGAGTTGCATTGAGAGTAGCCATATCTGATTTAACAACTGATAATGTGACTTCGTTAACGATTTTATTTAAGAACTATATGAGAAAAATAACTGCATGTAATGTGTGTAGAACTGCAGACACACACATGTAGCTATAAGCTATGTATTTTTGAAGATATGAATTCATATATCTATGTAGGTAATCCAGCCGCCGGTTACTATTATTGTCGGTTGAAGTTTTTTCGCCCTTTAATTATTCCTGTAACTATAGGTCTGTATGACATGGTTATCATTACTGAATACTAAAAGTGCATAAGATTAACTGCCATTTTCTGTCCCATTGCTCGATAATTGAATGTTTTCAATTCCAAATTATTCATGGATATGTGTACAGGTTGCCAAAGAAAATGCTGATGTCATCATATTGGATGACAATTTTAAAACTACAGTAAATGTGGCCAGATGGGGACGTTCAGTGTACATAAACATTCAAAAGTTTGTGCAGTTCCAGTTAACAGTTAACGTTGTCACTCTAATGATCAATTTTGTTTCTGCATGTGTCTCAGGTATGTTGTCCAGCAGATTTTTCTTTTATGAAATGCCGTTATATTTGTTTGGAGCTGAACTAACACGAATAATTACAAATTCCCCTTCTCTTTCAGGATCTGCTCCCCTTACAGCGGTACAACTGCTTTGGGTGAACATGATTATGGACACTCTTGGTGCTTTGGCATTGGCAACAGAGCCTCCAAATGATGGACTTATGAAAAGGCCCCCAGTTGGGAGGGGTACCAGCTTCATCACCAAGGCTATGTGGAGAAATATCATTGATCAGAGTATCTATCAACTGGCTGTCCTTGGAGTTCTCAATTTCTCTGGGGAGAAGCTACTAGGACTTACTGGTTCAGATGCAACTGAGGTTCTCAACACTGTGATATTCAACGCATTTGTGTTTTGCCAGGTACAGATTACTGGTTTAACCAGTACCCTAGTTTTATCCGTGCTGCCGTGCATTTTCCACATGGTTAACTTTAGTATTTACCAGCATATAACTTCTAGTTTTGATGTTGTTATTCCTAATTAAGCAGATGGTTTTGGGCCTGTGGTTGTTATTTCCCCTTGTGTTTGTTTTCCGAGATCGAAAGAATGATGCTGAAAAGCTTGTAGTAGTAATACTCAAGTCCCACGTATGTATGATCTTAGCTTTCTTTTGTTCTAACAGGTGTTCAATCAGATAAACAGTCGTGACATAGAGAAGATAAACATATTCCGTGGAATGTTCGACAGTTGGGTATTTCTAATCGTCATGGTTTGCACAGCGGCCTTCCAGGTTATCATAGTAGAGTTCTTGGGAGCTTTTGCTAGCACTGTGCCACTAAGCTGGCAACTATGGTTACTCAGCATTTTACTTGGAGCAGTTAGCATGCTTGTTGCAGTTGTTCTCAAATTAATACCTGTTGAAAGGATAACTAAGCACCATGACGGATATGAAGCGCTTCCTTCCGGTCCTCCAGAGGGCATAGTTTGAATAGGAGCGTTTCAGACGCCCTTTTTTCCTTCCCAAGGCTAGACAACGTCTACTGACTGAAACTAGTACGCCCTGAGACAGTCAAAAGGCCGTTTTAAGTTGCAGAGTTTTTTGTGTTGTTGGAAGTGACGGTCCTGTGAAAGCTCTGCTCGGTATTTTGTTTTTGTTTTCAAAAAGCTAGAAGGGTTTGGTTCAGTCGGTAGATTTGCTAGCATTTTTCCTTCTACGAATTCCCCACCCACAAAGTAATTTGAAGCACATTGCGACGCTTGAAATCTTCAAAATCGTTGTTTAGAATTTTCGGTTATCTGATTGAACCTTGGTATAGTTGGTTAGAAAGAAATTTACGCTGTTCTTAAACGCATGTGTGTAGGTTTTACGCGACGCTATCTGCGTATCATTTGTATTTCAGTGAAGATTATAAATTGAAATTGTGTTCATATAAGACGATGAATTGTGTTGGAATAGTTTTGTGAATCTTTTCTGTTTGACTGCATTCCTCTTCTTTTGTAACTTGAAATCATCAAAACTCAAATAAACTTACCTTTCAAGCGACAAGAGGTAATAACCAACGCAGTTCGAAGAGTTTTACTTGGAATGAACAGGAGAGATCGGAAATAATTAGGATAGAATCTGGTACAAAAGGAGTTGCTTGTATACATAATAATACACCACCACAATGGATTCTCTTTCTTTCTCTAATACACCATCACAATGAATTCTCTCTCTCTCTCTCTCTCTCTCTCTCTCTCTCTCTCTCTCTCTGCTAAAACAATATTCGCCAAGAATCTACGTGCACATAATCTCACTAACAAAATACTTAAGCCTACAAAAACAAAGAATTTGGTAAATGTCAAGAATCGCTTATCTGAGCCTCCGTTTTGCTTCTCCATAGGCAACGACTCCCATAACAGTTATCATGTAACCGCCAATGCCGATAGCAGTCACGGGGTTCTTGAATAAAAGAATTGAGATAACAACAGCCACTGTGCCTTTTGCATTGCCTAATACCTGATTGTAACATAATTACCATAAAACAAATTATACGAGTCCAAGAACGAGCCAAAAATAAATAAACATATTGTTCACCTACAAAAAATTGATTCGGCTGCATTCGAAATGTGTTTGTACTGCATTTAAGGCTTACGATTATGTGCAGACAGAGTTGCCATTTGACTGGCCTTTTACACTACGAGCTTACAGTCATAACTAGCTTCAACAGGCAGCGGTTTAATCAATGTTTTGATCTTATTCCCAATAGAGTTGACACTTTACATGTGTACAATCACACTACAAGTTGGATTTTAGGTTTTGATTGCCAGGTTTTGGGGTAGTCAGTGTTTTTCTACAATAAAATTCAATTCTAATTAGCGGATTTTTTGCGAACGTGTGAATTGTGGAGTAGCTTCTAAGATGAATGTTTGCATTCTTTTCGAAAACGAGGAGTCTGGTCATTATCAAGCAATGCTCAAGCTGCTACACTGTCAAGCTGGACAACACATTCAAGAGAAACGAAAAACCAGCCTGATCAATGGTGTGTGTGTGTGTGTGTTGGTTTTTATCAACTAAATTAGAACAATCAACATATTAATTCGAGAAATAATTAGATGAGGCAATATGAATTAGGAAACTCAAGGTGAAAGAAGTCCAAACCTGAAGCGTTAATGCACTTGTATGTTTGGTCACCAAAAAATTTGACAAATTAGCAGAATATGCCATCACTGAATTAATCAAAAGAAGTAACCACATGAATTTATGCTCCCTTCCAAGTGACAGAGTGGCATCTACGACATTGGGCTCCATTATAAGTGCAGCAGGCAACAACACAAGAACAGCAATCGGAGACATGTACAGCAGCAAATTCATTGAGTTCAACTTCTCCCTGTTCAGTGTTAAGACATATAAACAGAACAAGTAGTAAGAAAACACCACAGCAAGAAAATAGTGAATTAATTTGGCTTGAGATAAAGATGGAACGAAACTGAGAAACCTACAAACTGAACGTATATCACAACTATTTGGAAAATTATAGTTTTGATTACAGCGTGTCCGTTGTTTGCCAATCAAATAAAGCAAGGGGAGCATATCTAAATGCATCTCAAAGAAAAAGTTTACAATTAAGAAATAGAATAACTGCCTTCAATATTAAAGAGAATGTATCTAACACGTATGTGCAGGCTCTAGTAACTACTAGTACTATGTAACAAAATTAAATAAGCAATTAGGAATACAACACTTAATGGTCAATATTCAAACACTCATTGTTTTCTTTACCTAAGAAGAAAAATTCACGCTTGAGGTGGTCTAGCCCTCATCCTAATTGTAAAAGAGTTCTAACAGCGTGCGATTAGTTATTTATTTCAGTCTAACCAGAATCTCTTTGGACATATATATTTATGTCCGTCCACAAAGAGATGATTTACATGATTCCTACAAGTCTGAAATCTCTGTAACTACAGCACAGGGTGTAGCATTCACACAAGGAAAGAAGACACGTAAGCCCCCGTATCTTGACAATGGCCTTTTTGAGCTCTCTCTTTCTACTGATGATTGAATTGTCCACAATGGTTTCCAAATGAAATATGAGTTTCAGGACTCTTCGGGGTTCAAGGTAACCAAGAAAATGGCTGTGCATGATGAAACTATAGAAATCTCCATTATCTCATCCCTTGCTTGAATCTTATGTGAAGAGAAAATAGGTAATAATAAAGTATTTTAAGCACAACAGTAGGATTCTATTACATTCTGAGATCAGCCTTCATAAGTTATTACTTATTAGAGTTTAACCAATCCACAGTATTTACTTCCTTCCCTACAACCGGCACAGGTCTGGGTATAAACTAAGAAATAATTGCATTAATAGTTATAATATTATTTTTAGTTGTGAATGTTATTTATAATAAGTTATCATGCCTTGCTTTTTTAAAAGATTTCCTTACTATGAAAAGAGTGAGATTTAATCCCTTCTTAAGGATTCTCAGGTGGTAAAGGTTGTCCAAATATAGAAGGTTAAATATAAAAGAGTTCAGATGACAGATTACACAGTGAAAAGCTTCAAAGTTTTACCCTTCAGAAGAAAGTAGGATACCCTGAAGAACAGACTTAAAGGCCCTTGCAGCAGTTGCACTAATGCACATAACAAACCCAAAGAAGTGAAAACTTGGCTCGCCCTGCCACCAACCGAGAAATTTCCATCATTCCATTAAAATTGGAATCAAAGCACATTGCTGATATAAAAAGTGAAAACACAGAATACAATATAAGCCATAACAGTAAACCGAAAAAACAGGCTATTTAATTCTTAAAATTCATTAGATACATATATCATATGCCAACACAAACTTTAAACACCAGCCTCGCATAATAGCAACAATATCCATGCATGGTTTTGGATATGAATGACCCCTCATTTTGCGAATTGCTTACTTCCGCCACAATAAAGGTAGCATTGTCCATTATCAATTACAACTACAAGTGACAATGTTTTAAGAGAATGGTGCTTCTCCGATATTTGTAATCTTTCTATACCAAATCTCAAGCCGAATGCATTTCCGGTTTCAAGTTTAAACCAGATAGAATATCTAGAACAATGCATCGCTGGTTAATCCCGGTAGCTGAAATTCAGATCTGGATCAGCAAGTATCATATCTTAACTACATTTTCGACCGAAAACTAATTAAACCAGCTAAATCAATAAATCTCATACCAAATTCACAGCAAGATATACCCGGGAAATTAACAGCATTGTACAGAGACCAAATCAAAATAATCCGAAAAACGAGCTTATGCAGAAGCAAATAAAAACCAATGTCAAACAATTAAATAGCGATTAAAACTCATGATCCAATTAACAAAAACAAGCATTACCCCACTGGCAATCACCACCCCAGCAACAACAGGCACAAGAGCAGCATAGGTAACCCAGGCCTCCCTCTTCAAGGTCGCCAAATACGCAAACAGGGCGGTGAAAAACGGCGTCGTTGCACCGACAGCCTGATTGAAAGAAACAGCAAGGTACCTGAGAGAGATATTCCCACCCACGACCGACCCACAAAAGACAACGCTCAAAGTGGCAATCTTGAGGAACTGGGACCGAGATTTGATGGTCTGGAGAGGCACAATCTTGAGGAAGACGATGGAGAGGTAGCTGAGAACTGCGCAGGCGGCCATGTGGCACATTGTGAGGAAGATTGGGAATCGGAAGCCATAGTTGGAGAGTAAAAACTTGTTGAGTAGGAGGACGCCGATGTTTGATGAGTACCAGAGGATTATGAGGGAAGATATGAAAATGGCTTGCTTCTTTGACGACATTGCTCAAATGGGTTGAAGGAGGAGGAGAGATTTTGAGGTGTTTGTTTGGTGGAACAGGTGCTTGGAAGCCTTGGATCGGATTTTTTTTGAGAAGAAGCTCTGCTCTGAGCTTTAATGGAAAGTTATTATTATTTCGGGTTTTTATCGCAAATAATCCTTCACATTGATCAAACACATCATTTTGGTCCCTGACATTGAAAATTAATAGAAATGGTCCCTGACATTGATAAAAACCATCACAAATGGTCCTTCCGTTAAAAACTTTTTGGGCAATTTTCAAAGCTTTGTAACTCAATCGTTTCTTAACCAAATTCGACCCATGATATATCAAAATGAAGATAGGAACGTGTAGAACAAGATTATACCTATTTGGAAGCCCAATGGTTGCCAGAGATGGTCAGAAAATAGCCTCAAATGTGACTGGTCAGCAAAAAAACTAGAAAACTCGCCTGAAATGGGGTAAACTTTAAACATTCATAACTTCTTCAATAATCAACGAAATCGAGTGATTCAAAAACGAAAATCATACTTTTCGACGAGACTAAGAGAATGGTATCTTTTTTTATGGCTAACTCGTCGTATTTTGGCCGGAAAACGACTCGAAATTGGCTAACTCGAAAATGGTTATCCAAGTTCGAGCCATTTTCCGGTTAAACCACGGTAAATTAGCAGTCAATAAAGGTACCATTCTCTTTGTCGCGTTGAGAAGTATGATTTTAATTTTTGAATCACTAAATTTCGTTGAGTATTGAAGAAGTTATGAATGTTTAAAGTTTACCCCATTTCAGACGAGTTTTCCAGTTTTTTCGCGGATCAGTCACATTTGAGGCTATTTTTCGGCCATCTCCGGCAACCATTGGGCTTCCAAATGGTATAATCTTGTTCTACACTTTTCTATCTTCATTTTGATATATCATGGGTCGAATTTGGTTAAGAAACGATTGAGTTACAAAGTTTTGAAAATTGCCCAAAAAGTTTTTAACGGAAGGACCATTTGTGATGGTTTTGATCAATGTCAGGGACCATTTCTATTGATTTTCAATGTCAGGGACCAAAATGATGTGTTTGATCAATGTTAGGGACTATTTGTGATAAAAACCCTTATTATTTCTACATTCTTGGTCTTTGGCTTTTTCT